ATATTCTTGATTATCATCAATAGGCGAGTCGATTGAGCTATATCTGTCTGTTCGTCCGTCTGTCCGTCCTGATGAGCAGAGAGACTCAGAGAGAGACTCAGAGAGAGACTCAGAGACTATAAGAGCTAGAGCCACAAAACTGCTCACACTGTTACAAGAGTGTATTTAAAAAATGAGCCCCGCCCCTTCCGCCCCCTCAAAAGGGCAAAAACCTCCCAAATCCACAATTTTGAAGATAAAAGAAAACTAAAAATGCCCTTCCGTAGGGAATGACCATATCAATCAGATCGTCAAATTGGTATCCGATTGGATCATTATTATGGCCACAATGGCCCCCCTTCCCGCAGCTTATATTTTGTTTTTTGCACATTCTCTCATTCACACTCTGCTTCTGCTGTGTGCGGCCACTGCCTCTGCCGCGAGTCTGCAGTGTGTGGGTCTAGGGAATGGGGGCGAGCTAAAGGAGCGTGTTGGTGTGAGAAGTGTTGTAGATGTAAATGACAGATGAAGAAAAAAAGTTAAATTTGACAAAACACCGCTAAGGTTCAGATGTAGTACTGAGTGCCGGGTATAAAAGTTGTGACGCCTAAGAAGCGTCTCACACGTCCCTTCTCGTTTTCACCTCGATTTTTGTCTTCGTTTGATCGACATCGTCCAGCAAATTTCCCCTGGCTTGATGTACATCCACGAGCATAAAATTATCCACCGGGACATAAAGCCGGAGAATATGTTGGTGAGTCTGAGTGGCCCTGATGGGCTGCTGGAGTTGAACATTTTGCGACTTTGGCCTGGCAGTGGCCTACGAAGGGGAGCTCTTGACAACGGTCTGTGGCTCTGTGGATTACATGTCTCCGGTATGACTACAAAACAGGCTGCTGGTCGCTGGGTCAATTGATTTCATTCCTTTGCTCGCCGGAAAGCGATCTCTATTATGTATTCCAAGAGGACGCTGAGGAATACGAGAGACAAGAGCAGCGGCTGCAGCTGGGAATGAATGTGCTGATCAAATCCCTGCAGGTAAAGGAGCCCGCAGAGCGATTGAGTGCCCTCGAGATACTTAATTTCGATTACGAATATTAAGCTACAAAATTTCGATTGAGCCAATAAGTTTTAAGTTCTGTTAGTCCTCCCCTAAGTGGGGATCATTTATCATTTGCCCTACCATTGAGTGTTCATGTTTTCGAGTCGACTTAAGCCTTAAAGCAATTGACATCCATTTATTGCACTCCGGTACGGTCATCGTCTACTCGGCACTTGCTCATTTAATTTAAAATTTATTAATTTCACAGGGAAATCTTTCAGCAGCTCAGACTTTTTACTGCCACAGGCTGGAAGCCGAATGGATGCAGCTCCGTGGCGCCATGGCAACCTCATTACAGTACAGGGGAATTGTATTGTAAATAATAATTTTCTCGGGCTTACAAGGGCATTTTTTGCGCACTTAGCGTATGCGGGAATTTATGAATAAATCATTTGATCAGAGCGCCAGAGGACAGGAGACTCCCGTGACCGTTCGTCCAGGTCATTGGATGACCTCTTCAGCGGATAAAATGCAATATGTATGTATGTCCAACTCCACCACGCCCCCGTATGGCAGCCAGGTGCGGACTGACGTGAAGCTTGTGCTGTGTTGAGTTTTAATTAATCGAGAGAACTCATAAAAATATTTAAATATATAAAAACAACAGCCACCCACACAGTGTCCTCCATTTGGGGGCTTCAGTGGGGGGCCTTCTGACAGTTCAAGAGCTCTCGGCCCAATCCCAATGCCATGAATTAATGCCTACCAGGCAACATATAAACGTAAAATAAAATAAAATACAGGGAACCATGCCAGGATGTCCTTACGCCAATATTAAATTATTATTGCTGCAGTTTTTGAGCGTTTATTTAATTTACAACGGCAGAAGGATTTAATGGCGGGATATTCACATGCAAAACTAATTCTTGTGGAACTGTGCGTAAATGGAAAATATGTGTACATTTCAGTAGAAGATTTCTTGTGACTTTAAGAGTATATTGAAAGGGGATTATTTACTCCCAAGAGATTTGAATTGTAACTTTTCTGATCACTGAGAAGAACAACAACTTAAAGCCATGGTAACAATTGATTTTTTCAACAATTTTAAGGACATGAAATTCCGTTTTAGCTCAAGAAAATAGGGTATAACGCTTTATTGATCCCATAACCAGCAGCACAGGCATTCAAAATCCTCGAGCATCGTCCCAGAACTCTTCTCTCCCCTCTACTCCTTTACTTATCCTACAGAACGCACACACACCCAGACAATAAAATATGTTTCACCAAAACTGCAATCAAAGCGACATAGCACAAATTTTACAGATTTTTGCACATTAAAAATATGCTTGCAACTCCAGCAGCAGCAGAAGGAGCAGAAGCATCAGGAGCAGCACACACACACGACCCATGCCACGCCTCCCATGAGCCCATTTTTAGCATGCCAAAAAAAAAGACACGAAAAAAAGAGTCGCTCCAGAAAAGTTTATGCCAAAAAAAGGGGGGAAAAAATGAAATCGAGAAACTGGAGAGAGGAGCATCTGCCTGGCAGGACTTTGAGGCCAATGCTGGCGATACTGCTGGTATGCTGGCTGCCACATGCCGCATGCCACATTGCCCCATGCAAACGCTGCAACGCTGAATTTGATAATCAATTACCGTGGCATAGCCATAGCCGGCAGGAAGACCTCTGCAGCTTGAAATTCATTTGGAGCCACACATATGGGCCACATTTAGGAGAGCAGAAACGACAGACAGACAGGCAGGCAGACGACCGCATGGCGGTCACAAGAACACAAGTAAATTCCAAAGAATACACTTGACTTTGGTGACTGCACACAGCCAGAGAGAGAGAGAGAGAGAGAGAGAGAGAGGGAGAGAGACTGTGGCACGTATGAGTAATATGGGTGGAGGGGATTGTTTATGGGCCATGAGGTTGCTGCAGGTTGCTGGTTGCAGGTGGTAGTGCATACACCGCCTCGTATAAATAACCAAATTCTGTTGCCTCTGTTGAAGTTTTTCATTACAAAACTGCAAATTGGCTTCTCGGCTGTCCTTTTGTCGTTTGTCCAAAACCAATTAATGAATGCTAAAAATTCTACAAATCTTATTTTGCGACGAAACGATTTATGGGACATTGTCTGTGATATGCAGAAATAAATTGAATTATTTCCCAGAATGGGAAATAGTTTTTTAATGGTTTTACGGAGATGTTCAAATTACAAACTCTTCACCCTTAGTATTTATTCTTCCTTTGCTTTTCCAATTTTCAATTAGAGTTGCAGTTTTCTTCCTATTTCGATTTCGGTTGCTGCTTGTCATTAAGTGACGCTGCTGTCAGCTTTGGCAGCAATCCACTTAATGAAATCATTTAATCAGTGTGCCAATCGTGCCACAAAGTGGAAATGAAAGCTTCACAAGCTCAGCATTAGAACACATGTTCAATGTTCAATTTATGCCCTACACTAATCAATTCTGGCTCTCTGCGTGCTCCACCCTGCACTCCACACTCCCATCTCCGCTGTTCCCCAGTTGCCCTACTCTACTGTTCCACCTAATGCTTCACTGCCACACTCTCTGCGCTCTGGCTTTGCTTCAATGCTTCGGTTTGAGACACTAAGGGAATTGCGGCCCGCCAACAGCTGTCCTTAATTACATGGAAATCCACACTAGTGTCCCACACCATCAGCGGAGAGAGTCCCCATAGAGTCATTCACCTTGCCAGCCAAAAGTGAAGAGAGCTAAAAAAGGAAGTGGGTATTGAAGGGTGTCATTATACGTCGTGAGTTTAGATACCCTAACCAATAAATCGTGTTTAAGGTAATACATGTTGAGGGTTTATTTCTGGCTGTTTGCCAGAACCATATCTAAAAAATTTCAAATAGAACAAAATGCTCTCCTCTTTGCTTGCGAAATCAAAGTACCATTTGAAAGGGTATCCATAAAAGAAAATGGCAATGTGGCAAAAGGCAGAGCGGGAGTAGGAGCAGCAAATCGAAATCAAGTGAATATAACATATTATTTCAACAGGCAACTCCTCATTCATTCAACATATAATATTACCACCCATTGCGATGCATGTACATAGCCCCACAGGGAGGGTGGGCGTGTGCTCAGTGGTGCCTGAGTGTACGTCTAGGGGGGTTGGTGGTTGCTGTCATGGTGGGCATTCGCGAGTAGGCCTGTGGAATTGAGGTGAATAAGCGGAGCACTGGCACAATCCCACCCACTAAAAGGCAAACAAAGGGAAATCAATCTTTGTACATACTTTTAGCATATGCACACGGTATATCCTCACACACACACACACACACACACACACACACACACACAACATATGCGAAGAGTCCATGTGTTTGTGTGGTTTCAGTGGCGGGGTGGGGATTTAGGGAATATTTGCATGCCTTTTGTGTACTTTTTCCATATGATTTATAACCTAAATTGTTGCTGCTGCTGCTCACACATATACACATATAATTACTCACACACTCACACCAATGCCATGTGTGTCTGTATGTGTGCGTTGTCTTGGGACACCCGTCCAAAGTATGCTACACTTTTTGTTTTGTTTTATGTGTTAATAAGGGGGCGTGGCAGACGCCTTTGATTATGGATATCGCAACGGTGAGAAGCGCCAAGCAATTTCAAATATGCACTCCTTGTTCGTTTTTTAAGCGCTTGAATAAACTATTCGACTGGGTGGAGGACTGCCATGATTTAGTTAAAGTTTAGGCCTGATTAAACCACAAACCACACAGATATGGAGAAAAAGGTCACCAGCAATGACCTTCCAGCCAGCAAAGCAACTGCAAAGCGATGTATCAGCAGAATGTCAGTCAATGGATTAGGTCAATCCACGCCAGCTAATCCCACATGCAGCTGCTGCCCCAAGCTGCTGCTGATGTTGCAGTTACTGTAACCCACTGGCTAATCCAATTCCGAATGAGAATATAAAACCCAAAGCCCGAGCATTGCTGTGATTTTGTCTTGGCCCAAAAGGCCGAGAATGGAGTACCACAACGCGTCCATCGTTCTCGGCAATGTGTCCAGTGTGCTGCGTCCGGATGCGCGACTCTCCGCGGAGTCGCGTCTGCTGGGCTGGAACGTGCCGCCGGATGAGCTGCGTCACATACCCGAACACTGGCTGTCGTACCCGGAGCCACCGGAGTCCATGAACTATCTGCTGGGCACGCTCTACATCTTCTTCACGGTCATCTCGATGCTCGGCAATGGCCTCGTCATTTGGGTCTTCTCCGCGGCCAAGTCGCTAAGGACGCCGTCAAACATACTCGTAATCAATCTGGCCTTCTGTGACTTTATGATGATGATGAAAACGCCCATCTTCATCTACAACAGCTTCAACCAGGGCTATGCCCTAGGGCACTTGGGCTGCCAGATCTTCGGCATTATTGGCTCCTACACGGGCATAGCGGCGGGTGCCACGAACGCCTTCATCGCCTACGATCGCTACAATGTGATTACGCGACCCATGGAGGGCAAGATGACGCACGGGAAGGCCATTGCGATGATCATCTTCATCTATCTGTATGCCACGCCCTGGGTGGTGGCCTGCTACACGGAATCCTGGGGCCGTTTCGTGCCCGAGGGATACCTCACGTCGTGCACCTTTGACTATCTGACGGATAACTTCGATACGCGCCTCTTTGTGGCCTGCATTTTCTTCTTCAGCTTTGTCTGCCCCACAACCATGATCACGTACTACTACTCGCAGATTGTGGGCCACGTCTTTAGCCATGAAAAGGCGCTGCGCGATCAGGCCAAGAAGATGAATGTCGACTCACTGCGCTCGAATGTGGACAAGAGCAAGGAGACAGCCGAAATCCGCATTGCCAAAGCGGCCATCACCATTTGTTTCCTGTTCTTTGTGTCGTGGACGCCGTACGGCGTGATGTCGCTCATTGGCGCCTTTGGGGACAAGAGTTTGCTGACACCCGGCGCCACAATGATACCCGCCTGCACCTGCAAAATGGTGGCCTGCGTGGATCCCTTTGTGTATGCCATCAGTCATCCCAGATACCGCATGGAGCTGCAGAAGCGCTGCCCCTGGCTGGCCATCAGCGAGAAGGCGCCAGAATCGACGGCCGCTGCCTCCACCAGCACCACGCAGGAGGTGCAGCAAACGACGGCGGCCTAAAATCAATCAAAAATTAATTATGATGATGCGTCTCCCGGAACACGAGCTCGTAATACAAAATGCCTGGATACAAAAACTTCTATAAAATTCGCAAAGTCTTTGCTGAAACTTTGTGGTGAAAAAATGTGTGAAATACGTCAAATTTATGATTATGATTTCTAGCTATTATTTTTTTGATGTTAAATAATCAAATATAGTTAATTATTGCAAGCAAGCGAGGGGCACAGAGAGAGTTTCCTCTTAGTCCAACACTTTGCTTAATCCCCTCAGTTGTGCTGCTACAGTAAAGTGCCCAGCCCAGCCCTGCCCTGCCCATTGTCTATCAAATCGGTTGGGCACTTGACGTTGCCTTTTGCGGGTCACTCAGTCGACACGAAACCTGCATGCCGGTACGCTGCCCAAAAAGTAAAGACAGTCGACAGACAACAACAAAAGCATTGGGCATTGCGGTCCAAAAATTGTTGTCCCAGTTCCAGGCTTCAACATGCAATCCACAAAAAAGCTCGCTCTCTCGCGCGCTCACGCGCTCTCCCGCTCTCTTTTCTTACAAGAGAGCGCAAGTTTGAGACTGGAAGGAGCTTGCGCTTTGTGGCGTGAATTAAAGTCCACAGGAATGAGTTCCGCCACTATATAACAAAAACTTGGCCCCCACATGGACTCTGTTACTACGTAAAAACCTGCACGTGCTCCCCAGGGACTCCATATGAGTTGGGCTCCACTTGGCATCCATGCACATTTATCAAAGGCAAGGAAGCAGCAGCTGACAAGCCACTTGGCCACACAACGATGCCTAGATTTTCAGTTCCACAGTCTTGCCCTGTGCCAATGACACGCACACACACAGCTTCCACATGGCCTCCAAGCGCCTCTACCCTTTGCTGACTTTATTCTAGCCATCGTCAATGGCATTTAACAATTTGTTTGAGCCAAAGTGTTGCACCGTGTGTTTGTATGGCGCCTCATTATTATTGTTTTCCCAGCTACCGCATTTCTTTCACTGCCACACACCGCACCGCATTCGCTCTCGCTCTCTCTCTCCCTCTCCCTCTCCGTCTCCCTCTGCGCTTTAGCCCACGCTCCCGCTTTACCCCGTTATCCCTAACGCTTCCCTCAACCGGGGTTTTTACTTGGTACCTAGCACGCTTTTCCACTTATTGCCTGGCGGGCATTTGGCAGATCCTTTTTCCTGCGTCGTTCTGTGGTGAACCCAAAACCGCATTCAGACAGACAAACAGACAGACACAGAGACGAGCGAGCGTGCGAGCGAGTGAGCGCAGGAGCGAGGCCATAAACCAAAATCGGCCGCAGCCACCGACGACGCTGGCAAATGGTAAAAACGAAGCAAAATTAATGAAAATCACACAAACACACAGAAAAACAGCTACAGCTGTCCACACACACACATATACAAACAGACGCACACACAGACAGCAGTCGTGGGAGGTAGAAAAACGGGAGCTGGGCTGCAGGGGAAGAGACAATTAAAATGGCACCCACAGAACGTCCTTGCAGCCGCACACAGGGAAAGAGAGAGAGAGAGCGGCAGTGAGTGAGTGAGTGAGTGAGTGAATGCCGCCAGCTACCACACCACGCCGCAGCAGCACGGGGCATGCACATTTGTCTTCCACGAAATTCGCTTTGGCTCTCATTAATTAAGATAATTAGGCCTTTTCGACGCCTTCAAAGTTCAACCAGAAGAAGAAAAAAAGAGCATCCATGCAGCAGCAGCAGCGGCAGTAGCAGAAATTATCATACAGCAGTACGGCCTACGATGCACGGACGAAGGACTACGCATTTAGGGACAGTTCAAAGTTCGTTGTGTTTACGAAATCGGCTTAAAGCATGTCTCTCTGTCTCGCTGGTCTGGCTCTAGGTTCAGCTGCTTGTTGGAGCAGGAGCAGGAGCAGGTCCTGCTCCTGTTTGGCTACTCGTGGTCCTGGAGCCATGGGCCTACAATTTGCTCAAATTCATCGCGTGGGCACACACACACACAACATGCACAAATTCCTTTAATGAGTGGTTCATGGCACGGACTCAAGAAGGTTCCACCCCCTCGCACCACTTTCCGACAGCGAAATGCAACCGCAACAGAGAAAGAGAGAAATTTATCAGCGACTAATCTTAGTCACCACTAAGCCGAGGGGAATAATCACATTAGGGGAGCACTCCAAAAATTGCCATTACATTTGTGTATTTATGTTTTATATTATTCCCCTGGCACCCACTGCCAGATAATGTTTTAATTAAAACAACATTTAGATATTCCCCCACTTGCTACATTTCTTAATGCTGCCACAAAGTTTAAGCCAATTACAAAGTTTCTTAGAATTGCATATTCATACTCGTAGCATGCCCCTTTCTGTCCGTCCATCTACTTTGACGCGAAAATTTGATTTCCTTTTTGATTGACAAAAGCCAATTTCTTTTTTATGCTTGTACCTTTTTCTTTTTTGCATGTTGCACCGAAAAACTGATTAAAATCACATGCAGCAACTGCACTTCCCGATATCCCATAAAAATGTCAGCTAAATTAGTTATAAATCAGCGAGGGGGAGGCCCCCGAAAGGATGACTTGATATGCAAAAGACACAAGAGGCAGCTCGCAGAGCACAGGGCTCTAACCGCAACTTTGTGAAGCTCAAAATGAAGCCATAAATTATACGAACTAATAATTATATGCCATCAAATTGTTGTAAGCAAAGCGAGGAGTCAGAGGGCTAAAGCCAAAGGCGAGAGGCGGAAGGCGGAAGGAAGGCTGAAGTCAGCGCCAGCGAGTTTAACGGCCAAACATAAATTATAGACATTTAAAAAAAAGGATGGGGGGCTTGCAGGGCGGAGATATACTCTCTGTATAGTCTATGGGGAGGAGAGGAGAGCCACGTTCATCTAGCTCGCGGCTGGATGGCAACGGCAACGGCAACAGCAACAGCCACGCCGCGTGGAATATGCGATTTTTATCACAGTTTATGCACTGCACACAAAGTCAACATAATAAGGTCAACACGCACAAGGACTAAGGACGAGCACGAGCACGGGCACGAGAACTCCATGGTGATGGTGTGGCCTGGTTGGGTGTCGGTGTCGCTTTAATTAAATGGCAAACATCCCGAGCCGAGAGCGCGTCAGAGAGCAAAGTTCGAGGTCAGTCAGTAGTCAGCAGTCGACAGTCGCCAGCCATGATGAACACGGCAAATTCGTTTTGCTCTTCCCTGTGCCTTCACTCGCTGTACCTTCCACCCATCTCACGTTCTCTTTTTTTACAGTCGAGCAATTTGCAACAAAATTAGCCCCCGAAAAACGTTAACCCATGGCCATGGCCCCTTGAGGAGCATTCAAATAAACAAAAGATTGGGTTAATCCTCCTCCCCCCCGCCACCTGCCTCTGGTGTGGCCTTCAAATGCCATACGTCTAAGTGACTCTCCAATGGGCACCATCATGACAAATGCCTCGTTGCCACCTTCTTCGACTGCTGCTGCTGCCGCTGCTGCTCCTACCCATCCATAAGTATCTTTGCAGTCGTAAAGTTGCTAGGATGTAGGATCGCAAAAAAGAGCGTTTAAATTTTGTAATTTAAATGCAAATTGACAGGCAAATGACAAACATTGCAATTAACGAGGGACTAGCGGGCGTATACGCAATGTGGCCACAGACAAAGTCCAACCAAAAAACGGGAGGCATGGGCATGGGCATGGGCATGGAGCACTCCAGCCCGCCTGGGCTCAACCAGCCAAAAGCGACTCGACTCTCCCAAACAGGACATAATTTAGGCCCTGCTACGTGAAGCTCTAAAATTGCTGGAGAACGGTCTGTGGCGGCAGGCGTACAGCACGGCACAGTACAGTATTCCACACGTATAGTGGTGGCTGGGGGTATGGTGTTTGGAGGATTGGTAATGGGAATATGCAAAACTTTCCTCTGGTTAGCAAACGGTTGGTGCATTTGCAAGTCATACTTTGGAGTGGGTCCGTCCTTGGCTGTGTGGGGGCGGGGGACAGTCGAAAACAATTGAATGACAAGACTGCTGAAGGAGGAGGAGGAAGGCAGAAAGGGAAGGAGTGGGCATGGCCATGGGCTACAATTCGGAAATGTTCTGCATAAAACTCGCACGACATTAAGAGAGAGCTGCTCCGGCTGTGCAAAATTAAGTAAGAATTTAGAGCTTAAGCAGAAATATTTTTAAACTGATCTCTTGAAGAATTTTAATATATTTTACTTGTAAAAGTGATCACCCTAGTCATAGTCACTTATTTTTAAACATCTCTAGTCTGCTGAATTTCTCTAAATTACTAGCTAATATATTTGAAATTCAATTGCAAATTTCGTCTCATTTTTGGGGCAGTTTTTCCTTTTTGTCAATTGAAAGTCGAGTCCTATGCAAATGAAAAACATTTTGTTCGCCCGCATGCAAATAATTGCATCAAAGTTTTTGTTGGCCAGGACATCATGACCTGCTGGCTTTGCCCTTTGCCCTTTAGTCTTCTCTCTGTCGTCTCTCTCTCTTTCTTTCTCTACCAAAACAAGTTGATTTTTTTTCGGCTAGGAAGTGGAAATGACACCAACTGCATTGCGGCCCAGCAGGCGCGTCAAAAAGTATTCGTTTGAGGACTTCTTATACACAGTTTTTGTTTTGTGTTTTGTGTTTTTGTTTTCCATTTTAGTTTCTTGTCTTGTTGTTGTTTCTGGCGTAAAACAAAAGAACAAAGTGTTGGCCTGTCTGAGGCAGGCACTTGGCTGGCGGCCAAGGAAAATGCATGGAGCTGCTCTGCTACACACATAAATACACAGGCCACATCTCCATTTGCCCGCCCAAAAAGTTGGTGAGGTAAAGGGGAGACATTATAAAAATGCCAACTATTCACATTAATTATACGAAAATTGTTCATTGTTCGCTGTTGCTTTTAATCGTATTAATCGCATGGCAAAGGACCCTCGCCCTAACTTGTGGTAGACTTTTCTAATTTATTCGCCTAATTGACTCAAAGTAAAGTTCTCTCCCCCTCTCTACATATTTTGCGTGGGTTCATCGCTACAGCCCCAACACTTTTTCCCCAGAAGGCAATCTCTGGATGATATACCTACAGAGCGGCTTGTGCCAGCCTCTTGTGCCGCGTGTCATGTAAATGTCAAACTTGGTGGAGCCTGGAGAACCTTAAACAACGACCGGAAACTTTCGCTTTATAAATAATTTTACCAGAGAGCAGAACAAGAACAAG